GGGGGGGGGGGGGGGGGGGGGGGGGGGGGGGGGGGGGAAGTGCGGAGGCGCCAGTGGGCGCCACAAAGACGGACGGCAGCACCTCCCTCCTCTCTTGCTAGGGCCTCACTCGCTGCCTTCGCCAGTGCAGCTCAAATATATGCCTTTGTGAGGTACGGACGAAGGCCGTCTCAGAAGCGAGTGTCTAAGACCGGTGGTCTAGTTCACACCTCACAATGTATTCATCCTTGCTCGTTCGGCTCGCCTCAACTTTAGCCCTTTTACGTTATCGGATTGTTCTTGCTGAAAGGACTGAATAACTGCGCCTATTTATTTATTTACTTTGATTCAACCCCTTCCCGTAACAAAATTCAACCTCCTTGTATTCCTCTCAGAGCTTCTGGAGGAACGAAATTGGCCATGTTTCTTCCACTCAACACAAAACTGCTCCAGCAAATTTGAAGTGCCATCTCTTCGGGGTTGTGAACACCGAAACTCGCTTTTTCAAGATTGTGCCATAAAAAAGAAATTAACTGTCGTCCATTTAGGCTCAGCTGCTGGCTTCGGTCCATTCCTCAGTGTTGCCGGATATCGTGTCGAAGTTATGCTAGACTGCTTCGGCCTTCGTATCAGTGTCGGGATCTTTTGACATTTTATGCACATGGAAGTGCAACAAGACTCGACCATGTTGGGCTCATCTGAAAAGATGTCAGGGACTTGGTATCTAGGATGCTTTCCTTACATGCTTTGCTTCCTAGTCAAGAGAATATTTTTGCATGTATACTAAGGTTTTATGGCGAATAATGTTCAGATTTTTGGTTAGAATTTACATAGGTAAAAGTGTAGCACTATTATGCAAGGAAAAGCATTAGACAGGAACATGCCCTTCGCCTGGGTCTTGCGTTTCAGTCAATGGCACTTCCTTCTTTCCGGGTTTGAAGGGAATGTTATATTGATATTCCCTAGGACACATGAGGCAGTTGATTATCTGGAATCTGAAATCCAAGATAAAATAGGTTTGATGCATGCAGACATGAATCACAGAGTTAAGGGTGGCCCAGTTTTATTCATTCTCGTGGTCCTGGTTGCATGTTGTGAATGGCAACTGTTACGCCGGCTGCATCATCCCCAATTTCCGCAGCACGACTCACACAGGCGGTGTGACAACGCTTCGTGAGACTTGGATCACCAGTGCCTGTATTGACCATAAAGGGGAAACGAGAGTTTCCCGAAAACAGCATTGTGATTTGGGAGCTGAAAGCGTCGTGGGCAATTAAACAATTAACCGCCATAAAGGGAAGCTGGAGGCCTGGATGCAGGTCTCCAGCCGATGGGGCATGTAATCTAAGCGATCTATTAATACTTCGATAATAGTGCACTTCACTTTACCTGGTGTCGCCACCTATTCTAGATGTAAACCAATTGAATACCACGTTTAAATCCCTGAATATTTCAAGGATTTCAAGGATAAAGTTGGACTAAAATTAACTCTATGCTTTAAATTTAGACGTCGAGTTTTAGGCAGTTTGGATGAAATTACGTAAGGGAATAATTTGAGAATACGAGAATATATTAAATTAGGCGATTATACTAATAGGCGACCCTTGACTCGGTCATGTTTTCGAACATTTTAAGACAAGAATTGTATTTGCATGATTAGATGCTACATTACCGAAACTCTTAAATTGGATCCCTCACTCTATTAGAGACATGAAAATGGCTACTAGAATCCAAAGATTGAAACTGCAAAGTCTCTCTTGCCAAAATTTGCGGTGCAGTATCTATTAGTAAGAATCCAGGGAAGAAACTAAATTGTTTTTTTTTTTCCTTAAGATTTTCTGATACGGGTATTCAGGTATTCTGGGGGGATATCAAAGAAAGACAGGCAGACTCAAAAGCACAACAGATTAACTGTGCAAATCATGCTCTCCTCTGAGGCGTTTCCGACGACGAGAGGATCTTCCAGGAACGGGTGAGCGAGGTGAGAGGAGTCCAATCAATCAATGATTCCGGAGGAGGAGCAGGAGGCGGTTCTTACTGTCTGCAACCTTGAAGCATTAAGTATGACAGTGGACAATGGGCATGCACAAACGAGAGCTCCTCTGCCTTTCTTTCCTCAAGTGCCCCTTTCCGTTTTCTCGCCTTTATTCTCACATCAACCCTTGTCGGGCATTCTCTCATTCCCCTTCTTTCATCCCATTTTCTACCTTGGACTGTGTGGTTCCCGAAACTGTCTCGGTGTAGGTTGGGTGCATCCCAGAAGTGCAAGCCATCTCGAGGTACTTACATTTTCCATATCCTATGGGCTGAGCCGAAGCGATGAGTTGCCCAGAAGCGGTGCCCACCTTGGAGAAGAGCTACTTACTCACCATCTACGGGCCGACGAAGAGACCGGGAAAACACATCCTACCCGAATCTTCCGTGAGTCCTGCAGAGGCCGAACCGCCACTGCAACCGTTCGGCCATCGTGATACAATGAATTCGGGTCTAGAAGCCGAAGAAGGGGGAGAAAGGAACGGGCAAGATGAGAGATGTGACGAGATACCTCACAGTCGACTGGGGAAAGGATAGTGGAGGTGTGGACGTGGAAACGCGGCGCAGAAGGTGCGGAGACCTCCTCCAACGAATCTCCTCTCGCATCCCCGAGCTCGAGCCATCCATCGAGAAGCTGAACGCGGATTTGAGATACATCGCCGACCAGGCGCGGAATGCAAGCAGGAAAGTGAGGCACCGAGAAAAATGGAAGTGGAGAAAATGTTTCCTGTTCCTTGATTTCGGTGATTTCGTTGCAGAAAGGTTTGCGGCCGCAGTTGGAAAATTTTGCTGCAATGACGTCGCTGCGGTGCCAGGTGAAAGCAGCGGAAGAGGCACGCGAGAATATCGCTTCAGCTCTCGTTGTCATCACCAATAAGGCTAAAGACATGCAGCTTCAGCTGCAAATTGCTCGTGACACCATATCAAAGGTGAGATGCCCAAATTGGACGGACATTCGGGATCGATCGATTCGATGCCCACCCGTCACCCGATGAGACATCCCCACGTGATTGCAGTTGGAGGCCGAATTGAATGAAGAAAGACTGAGTCGGGAGAAAGCCGAGGAAGAAGGAGATGAGCTGAGAGAGAACCTGGAATCTCTAGGCATGAGATTGAAACACCTTCAGGACGAACTGCACACCGATATGGACAAGCGGCTTCTCGAAATTGCTCTCAAGCAATCCAGGTCGTTAAAATTTAATTTAGTCATAATCTGTCAGTCGTCAGTCACTGTTTGACCCGAGCAGAGAGGGAGTTTTCCCAGCTTCCGGCTTGTGAAGTCTAAATCGGCATGGATTCATGTGATTCCGTGGGCTGGGACTGGATTACTCGTCGGTTCGAAAGCTTCACTCGACCTCGGGAATTTCTCGACTCGAGACGCTCTTCCACCAGCTAAAGGCTATCCTTTGTCTTCGAGTTTGGATCTTCCACACGTAGATGTGGACTTTTCTTGGACTTTTCGTAAGGATGGCTCCTTATTTCACATGGAATCTAAGAAGGATTTTTTTTTTTTGAGGAGACATCCGTCATGGAGTCATCAGTGTGATTTTTTTTTCTCAGCCGAATCAGCCCTGATGTCTCAAGTAAGATTTCCATCGACATCAGAGTTTTTGTTTCCCCGGCAGTATCGTCACAAAAGTGACAGCATTGGGTTCAGGGTGATCGGACAAAATTACAGGGTTACAGCTCTCAAGGACATCGACGGTACATGTTGCACGTCCGTGGCCGTCGTTTCATGGATCCGTGACGGCGGACGACGGGAAGAGGCCTGCTTTTGGCATCAAAACAGTTGGGATTTAGATCCGACAAAAATGAATTACAAACGAGTCTCTATCGCGGGCCAGCATGGCTGTGATTGCATCACAGACAATATTGGAATGATTCCATAATGTAGATGGATTACTCTGATTGGATTAGCTTTCTCCCCAGAGGAAGATTCGCATTCTGACGTCTGACGTACACTCATTTTTCCATTTCCCAGTGGCAACCAGACCAATGTCTTATTGTTGCCGAACCTTGTGTTAGAGCATAATCCTTTGAACCAGACCTGTGGATATTTTCAGAAAGTAATAATTATGCTCTTTACTATTTCAATATTCAGAACGTGTTTTTATTTTACCTGAGCGCAACCAAAGAGGAAATAAATAGGCCTACTGAATACAATGAGGGTAAGAGGACATAATCTCGATGCCTTTTTTGTTGTTAAATATGTTGCTGAAGGCATTTTCCCATTCCTAGCTGTGGTTATTGCTGATTTCCTGACCGAATAGAAAAGGCAGAGAGATTCTATCCGTAGCCGGTTTGTCAAGATCCTTAAACTTGAAGTCTTACTCCTTTTTATTTTAAATCGTATATTACATATATGTATATAAATCCCCCTTACCCGCACGATTGGACTTGTCTTAGCCCAGTCCAGCTGAGCAAAGCAGGCGATAAGACAAGCACACTCGGTCACTTGGACATCACTCGGGAAAAAGTTGTTTCTTGGGTTTTGAAGTCAATTTTATTGAAAATTTCCTGGTTATTTCGATTGCTATATTCAACTCCTGTTCGCACGATAGACAGGATCTGGAGAAATGCAGTCGTCAGTTGAGCATTCTACAGACGGATTACAACCAAGTCATTCCACTGCGGGAATTCCAAGAGTTGGAGGCGTCCCATCTGCTCGTTGTGCAAGAAAAGGCGCGTCTACGTAGAGATCTTGATCTCGCCAAGACGGAATTAGCGACAGCTTTGCGTAAGTTATCAGCTATCTTGACACTTAGGTCGTGTTGGGTCTTAACGAAAGTCGATAGGATGAGACTACTGTCTTCCATATGGAACGGGAATTTTTTAAAGCTCATGCTCGCCTATGTGGCCGTGCAGTTTGCGTTCATAAGTACTGCAAAAAAATCATGAACGTACCGGTACGTCCACATTCCCGAAAGGTTTAAGAAAACTCGCTCCTCGAAGGGTTAACTGCTTGAACCTTAACCGGATGAGACTGACTGCAACTCGGTTTGACCCAGCTCGAATGCACCAACGTGTGGATTTTGAAATGGTTGTCTTTTGTTCTTTCCATTCATTTGCATTGAACTTGGCCTCGCAATTTGATTTAATATTTTCGCAGAGGAGTGCGAAGTCCTGAAGAGGGAGAACGCAACATTGTCTGTGGCGAATCGCTCCCTAAGCAGATATGGCACTCCTCGACCTGACTGGGAAAAGTCCCATCACTCTTCGCTATCGTTCATTCTTCTGCAGGATTTAAAATCGCAGTATTACACTTGCCTTCCACCACTATTTGTAGGTGCATGGAGTGTCTGGAAAGTAGTCAGGTCGAAGAATGGAAGAAGCAAGGTCAAAAGCGTTCCAGCCGAGAGAAGCTTCTCATCCTCCTGAGACTCGTCTGTTCGACGAGAAAGCCAGAAATCGGCCCTCCCCAATTCTTCCAGGGCAAGGTAAAACATAGGGTTGAAAGTTACGCATACGTCTTCCTTTGGGGGAGTATTGAAGTGAATCGCCCCGCAGGGGACAGGACCCGGGGTCCCCAGATATCTGAGATTCGAGGGTCTGGTGAGAAACCGACATCTCGCGCCCAGAGATGCATGTCTACTCATACAAGACATTTGGAAGGGGAAATGCGAACTGAAGGAAAGTCCATACAAAAGAATCCCGCTCGAGACCTACCTTGGCAGCTACTTCGAGGAGAGGTTAGTCGGTGCTCATGACATCCTTGGCGAAAGAGTGGGCATTGACCGATGTAACGAACCTCGAAGTCTATTTTAGATACCCGAAGAAGTTCATCCGTATGGAATGGAGCTACAACCTCATCGACGCCTGCCAGCGTTTCCCTCACGACGATGTGATTGGACTGTTCTGGGGGATTTTGTGCGGCAAATACGATGAAGAAATCTACCACAGCCAGAGGAAGATCGTGCAGAGGCTGAAAAAGTCTCTCAAAGAGGCGGCAAAACAGGTTAGAGTACCTCCCCGTCTCATCACATTTCCATGCTCAGGTGGTGAAAAACTGGAAGCTACTGAGTGCACTTTGCAGACTGGCGGAGAGGAAGTAAGCATCCAGGCGTTTATTCAAGTCTTGCGAGATGAATACCCCGCCATATCTCTGAAAGATCTAAGGGAACTGTTGGATGAGGCCAAATGTGAGCTCAAGCTTCATTCCACGGCCAAGACTATTCCATTCCTCCCCCTTGTGACATTGGTAATGAGAGCCTACCCATTAGTTGAAAGGGTGCATTCTCAGCTCCATGTTGATACCTCCTTTCATAGACAGATGAAGGTAAAGCAGGTGGATTCCTTGCATTGCTTTGGAAGCATAGAGCAAAGGCACAAGAAGAATATGTTCAGGATATCGGCAAAGCCCTGTCGAAGCACAAAGAAAGCAGCATTGGTCCCTACGAGCTGAGCAGGGCTTTGGCAACAGTAGACCCTCAGATTGGTGAGTTTTCCCTTTATTTCACAATTCTGAAAATCCCTGAGACTTACGGGACTCTCCCATCACATTCCCAGAGAGATCCCAAATGGAAGGCTATGTAACATGGGTTTTCGAGAAGGCTCCAGAGGATCATGATAAGGCCCAACCATTATTATTCGAGACAGTCATCTGGAGGCTTCAGCATGGGAATATTCATCGCATTGGGAAAGCACCCTAATTTCCCATAATCTGCACCTTCAAATGACATCACATCACTCCAAGCCAAGCAAGAATGTGCTTCGAAGAACGATGATACATGTGGACTCAACAACTTGTGATTGGTGTTACCATGCCTATACAGTAGATTCTATCCCAGTTGTATGGTTCCCTTAGAGTGGTTCCAAAACACTAAGGTGAAGTCACATTATGGTGTATCGTGTTTTAGGGATGCTAGAGATCCTTTTAGATATTTGTCACCAGAGGAAAGAAGGTTGAAGTTCATGCCTTTGGGGCATAGAGCAATAAGATTGACAGTCTCTCTTTGGGTAAGCCTCTTCAGATTAAATGCAACCAAAAGGGAAATCAGAAGTTTCATGGCTAGAACTCAGCACAATTCAGGTGTTACTCTCACCCAGATCACCATTGGAGATGTCAAGATCATATATATTCTCACTCAATGGATATATTTATTAGCCAATGTAAAATGTATCCCAAATTCATCCATGCTCACTAAATGTCTCAGCTTCTCAGGAAACAACTAGGGCAGGATCTCAGGTAGCAAAGCATCCAGGTGTGTATTTTAAGCCATTAAACTTGAACAGGTGATGGAAAAGAGCATGTCATCATGATACATGCAATTTTTATGAAGGGTTTGTTATTCCAATTGCTATTCACAGATTTAAAAGATGCTTGGTTTAATTGACCTATATGAGGGCTAGTTTCCTCCATGCTGCAAGCAGATATGAAGGTATGTGGCATCTGTGCTTACAGAGACACATTTGTGCATTTATAGTGCAATAGTCACAGATCAAGCTTTAAAATGTCAACTGATCACCATCCAGACAAAGATGAGTATTTATTCACTGACATAAGCAGATATAAATAAGGTACCCTTGAAACATTAAAAAATACTGCACCCTACGGTTGTGGCCTGCCACAATTATTTTCACTACCTCCATGCTCCGGTGAAGAAAGGTGAAAGAGGTCTATGGCTGCAACAAAACATAAAAGCCAGTAATCTGCATAATCAGATTTGAGATACAAGATGTTGATTCATCACCTTCCATCACTTACGTAAATTGTATTGCAATCTTCCCAATCTGTGGCCTTGCTAAGGACTGCTGAAATGCCAGCTCTGCATCCATGAGGGAAAATGATTGATGAAGAAGGGGCCTGAGGTGACCTTCATCAACAATGTTGGCAACTTTTTCCAATATCCGCTTGTTCTTCTCCAGCTGCATCTTAGACTAAAATAAATTAAAAGAAACTGAATTCAAAATCTCACCAAAGATTTTTAAAAGCAATTTTACCATATTTAAGTGAGAGTATACCCTTTTTAAATCTGGCATGATTGAAATTTAAATTTTTTTATGCTTACAGCCATGAGGAATGAGACTGAACTTAGGAGAGGGAGACACAATTCCAATAGAATTTTTTTGCAATTGTGAGCATTGAAGATGCAATGGTACTTAGATAGCCTCACCAAAGAGGGTTGCCTGGACCAAGGGAAAAGAGGTGATGGAGGTTGAGGTGAGTGAGGAGGGTGCAGAGCAATCAATCGAGATCCAAGATCACCAACTTTGTTCCTCCATGCATTTGGCAAGTCCTCAGTCAATAGTATTACGTTAAAATGCCGGCTACAAATAAACAGCAGAGAGAGTCCATCAATGCCGTATAAAGAGCATGTAAGAAAAAGCACCATTCATTCCAAAATGTAATTCCAGGTACTAGTACCTTGTTCTTAAATGAAGAACATTATCAGTAGGTGAGATAATTTCATCTACCAGGAGAAGCTTCAATACTTGCACATGAGGTGAAGCACATGTAGCAGTCACATTTCCACCCCAGAGTTTGATTAATTGGATAGCAAGGAGCCCCCAAACAGTGTCACCAGGGTGAACCAAGATCCTAAGAAAGAAACAAATTTCTGAGTGATTTGAGTACCTTCATAAAAGAAGATTACAGGAAACAAGAGAAAGTGAGTTATGATTATCACTGCAATTCAAAGAGATGTTCATTGCCACTCACTTGGCACCTTGACATCCATCTATCTGCAGATTGGCCTGAGACACTAGAGTATCCCAGACAGAGATGACTGAGTATGGAAAGCAAGCAGCTTCCATGTGACTCCACAACTCTGGTTTTTTGGCCACATAGGCCTCAGGAAGGACTACATACTCAGCCAGAAGACCCACTCTCCAAATAGGGGCATATGCCCAGACCTCATCTCCCACCTCCAAGGCTGTCACTGACTTGCCAACATCCACAACTATCCCTGAACACTCTCTTCCCAGAATGATAGGGAAGGATTTCTACAAGAGAAAGCAGACAAGAAAATGACATGATGGCATGCATGAATTCACAAATTTTTATGTAACTTCAATTCCTCTGTGCTTCATGCAAAAGTTTTACAAAAGCCAATAAGGACTCACCCTGATCCAGTTCCTTCCATACCCAGATGAGATCATGAGGTCTACTGGATCAATGGATGCAGCCCTGACTTGAATGAGCACCTCATCTCCTTTGGGGATGTCAGGCATTTCTATTTCACAGATGCTAACTCCCTAATAAGATTTGAAGGGACAACACATGATTTATGAATGCAGATTAATTCACTACCACAGCTTTCACCAAACATATGTAACCCTCTCATTCACAAATTTTGGACAAATGGTGAAAAAAAAACTTAATTAGGTGTGTTCCTTCCAGGAATTAAAAATGTAAAATATACATTAATACTAGGTCCACATAGATGGTGTCCTTATGAGAACAGTGCATACCATAGTGTAATATAGAAATGGCATAGTAAATGGTTCATGGCATAGTTTTCTGTTTGTCAATAAAACCAGAAAAGTACTCCTTGATTAGCTCATGTATTTATCACAGTTGTTGCACAATAACTTTTCCCATGAACATGCTTTTGTGTTTGTATTTATAATTTTATGGCTTTTATTATTGCAAAAAGCACAAATTTCCAACATTGGGAATGGGTCCCATCAGTCTCAAACACATAATAATAATAAAAACTATATCTGTCTTTCAATGAGAGCAGTGGCATTCATGAGAGGGTTAATATGATAAAAAAGACAGATTTTCAACAGTACACAAGCCAACATATCATTCACACATAGCCTTGTCATTTTACAAGCACAAAAAATACACTTTCCAGCATCTGATGCTACCAACTGAACATGCTATGTGCCTTGATAAGGGAAAAAAATTAATTTTCATATTGGCAAGCACCATGGATAGAATGATTCAATTCTGATGGTTAATGAATGGATTGAGAAGCACCTTAAAACTATGTGAAACATATATAGTTCTGAAGGCAAGCCAGAGAGAAAAGACAGTTTAATTCCTACCCACATCAACTCCACTGAATGAAGAAATCCCAACTGCTTGAACCGCAGCCTTTGGCTTCAAAGTGTTCTTGTAGCTCCGACCAATAACTACACCAAGCAACAAGCCAAAGGAGAAGCCACCAAATCCAATGCAGAGATTCGCCTTTGTCACTAAAGTAAACCAATGCAACAAGTGAGTTACAGAAGAACTCAAGGAAGGAACAAACACGGCAATATTTTATGCTGCATGGAAATTTCAAGAACAATGAACTGCACAATACTCTAAGCAGAATTAGCAGTTCCATGTATAATCAAGGAAGCAAGCAAGGTAGCATTGAAAAACCCTTAGGAAGTTTGTTTGCATATTACAGTACAATTATAATGACATAAATAAATCATGATTAGACTTAACAGGATTTATCATTATCCCCTGATAGAACCTAAATGTGCATCTTGTGGATAAGATAGAGCTTAAATGAAATATCATACTAGTAAATCAAGGTCATTCTGTAATGTTGTGATTATTGCATTGATAAGAAAGATGACAGGCATTGTAAGTTTTTCCTTGGTTTGTCAGCAAGTCTTACCTTCTGTGGTGGTCAAATAAATAAGTCTCTTGTACAATTCTTCTGGTTGAATATGCTGAAGACTTCCTTGCAAGTGAACAGCATTTTCCTTGAAAGCAGCCAGAACAGCAGAGGCATGGAACCGGGTGGAAATAATCATCTGATTCATATGCAATTGAAGCATATTCCAGTGATTCCCCATGGATTCGAGCCATGCTTGCATGTAACCCTGGATGTTACAAGGAAACCAACACATTAAAGCATATGCATTAAAGCACACAGCACCTAAACCTAACCATCTATATATATAGTCAATATATGTGTACATAGATAATTCAATCTCATTTGTCCAGAATTCCAGAATTTGTCCAGAATTTGTCCATGAGGCATCTCATGGATTTATGTGAAATTTTGACTGGAGGTTTCCTCCATTAAAAAAATGAAATTGTTTCAAGAAGCACAACAATTTTCAGGAAGGTGCTACTACTAGGCATTGAGTTATTTCTGTTCATATAATATAATATTCATAATCTGCATACTCTTGCTTGCTGGCAATGAGCAATGGGAATGAGTCTACACACATTGAATAGTAACCTTCATGTATTCATCCAGTATTCTTGAAGTAGGCATTTCAGCAGGAGTTTCTCCCCAGGAAGTGAAATATTTAAATTCTGTATTCTCATCAAACATTTCATCTGTCTCTCTGGTAGTCATATAGCAAGACTTATGTAGAACTGATGACATCTTTCCTCTGTCATATCATTAGCAGATGTGAAGACTTATTTTTTCATATTTTTTCCATGTAGCTTGAAGGAATTTCCTTCTTTATATTCCTCATAGAATATCTCGAGGAGTGTATTCTGTTATTTTCTGGCACTTTCTTGTTGAGATTTTTTTGTTTCTTGGCATACTTCTATGAAAGATGCCAAAGGCATGCCAGTTTTCTTTTCTAACAAATGTCTTTTTCTTTTAATTTTTTCATGGCCAATGACAGCTTTGAGGTTCCTTGGCAAGATCAACATTCTTCATCACCAACATTAGACCTACAACTTGGAATCCACAGCATAACTTAATAGGGAATGACCACTATACATATTGTGTCCTTTGGTGGCATTCCATGCAATTTATTAAAGATGTACCAGACAGCTCAAAAAAGTCTGAACTTCAAGCAGTTGCAGATGGAACATCATACAACAATTCAGCAGATGATTTAAATGGGGTCACATCCATCATGCTTAGACAGTTTCATTAAAATTTGAATGCAATTTTTAGTTTTTAACTTGGCAACACAATATTTTCTCCAGTGAATTATAAAATGAGCAAGTGCATCTCTGCTCCTGCCTGCTTGGGTGAGTCCAACCATGCATGGAAGAAGCACCCAGGGATTGTAAAAACACTAGCATATTTGACATCATGCCTCCCAGTACTTAAGTCTCTAAATGCTTAGCTATATGATGTGTTGCTGAAGGAAATATATACCAGAAATCCTACAACTTTTCATATTGCATGAAGAAATTAAATAATATTGTCTATTCTAAGTGTATGCACATGCCAGCATGGTTGCTCAGTGATTGATCTTAAACAAGCACATGAGAGGTCTTGCTTTCAAATCTAACAGGTGGTATATAAATCTTTCCAAGGCCAACTGTTCACCTGGCTGTTTTTTGGTGTTACTTTACATCTCCTCCAGACCAAGCACAGGCCACCCTGTGATCCATAGTGGTAGGAGGTATGGGCTATTGGGCACCTCAATACCATCTATCAAACAGTCCAATGTGCAGCAATGGTATAAGCATCCAAGTGTAAGTCACTATAGGTGTTGGATCAAAGCTCCTGGGCCTATGTAGACAGGAAAGATTTTTTAAATGAAGTATGTGAATACAAAGCGATCTTTTACAGGTGAGTTTAAAGCAAGAAACTCCTTTCTTCCTCATGTGAAGCCACATATGGAATCGTCCATTGTTGGTATTAGTCCATCATAGTCCATGTTGACATTGAGTGTAAGCATGTTGAAGGAACATCACTTAGGCTGTTGGATTTTCTGCTTTAGCCTGAGTCAGTGAAATGGGTATGTCAAGGCAATGCAGACTCCTCATTAATTGGGCAATGTTTCATGTAAGTAGTCAAGAGTTTAGTAGACTAATAGTAGCAGGAGTTTCTCATTGTGAATTTCAGTTAACAACTATAACTATTACTCTAACCCCATACTTGCATGCAATTACCAGTAAGGATAACTTATTATGGTGATCCAAGGTTCCATTCCCACATGTACATAGGCTTGTTATACAGTACTGGATTTTGAATAAAAACAGATGGCAACCCTAAATCTCATCTATAGGGTAGCCTAACTTAGGCATAGTCCCATGATTAGTCCAGGGCCAAATGAAAATATGTTGCTCATCAGTGTTGGGATACATCTAATTACACGTGAATAAGTAACTTCATGGGAACTTGAAATGTAACTTTACATGGCAGAAATTGTGTTCCATATCACTGTCCTTTCCTTATTGTAATGAGTAACTGAAAACTAAGTTCAAGTTACTTCGAAGGTATGCATATATTGATATCTTTATGCAGTTACTTTTGTCATGGAGTAACTTTTAACCCCTTAAGTGGGGAATTTCTTTGGCAGAAGTCTACCACTGAGGTGAGGGTTTTTTTTAAAAAATGAGATTAATAACTATTGTTCATGTACAGAAAAAGACTACTCTTTTTCCAAGTTTACACTCCAATATTGACTATATGCTGATTACTACACTACACTACTGACTAAGCTATGGGCAGCCCTTAAGTAAGGTTTACCTGGATGTAGGACCATTGATTTTCAAGCCTAGGAGACAGTTGATGGATGCTCACAGTGGTGCCAGTTGACATTGTCTACTGGTATGACTATGGTGAAACTGATCACTTGGATTTATCATGATTCTGTTGTAAACACGAGACTAGTAATAGACTCATTATAGAATAAATCATGTCTTCCAATCTGCTTCTTTCAAAGTCAAGGCACAAATTCAACATCAATCACATGTGTGAACACAAGATAGGAAGCACTCAAGCACTGTCAGAGCCACCAACAATGATCACCATAGTGAGAATTGAATTTATAAGCCTGAAGGAAGAAATATGTCTAAAATTAGAACCTTATTATAAGATTCCTATAGCTATGACATCTATTTTAGGGCTGAGGTCTCCCCATTTCATTTCTCATTCTGCTTAAACTTAACATCAGGCTTCAGAATAGTATCCAAGCCATGAAACCCTATTCAATGTCTCAGAAACAATGGTTTCAAAACTAATAGATTAACTTGGACCAAGAGAATGTCCAGTGATTATTTACTTGGCTTATCTATGTTGGGTATATCTTTGGTCACTTAAATTTGACTCCTCTAAAAATACATGTTACCTTCAGGATGCTATGGCCAGGCCAGTCCAGGCAATAATCAGATAGTGACACCTGGGTAGTACCAATAATTCACATGCACACATTACATAAAGCTGGAAGGACTGGAAATATATCCAGAAATTAATCTCCTCTCCAACACAATTCTATTTATTTTTTAACTGCAGGTTCTATATTCTATGTCTAGTATCAAATATTGGCCTACTTCTTTCCAACTTCCCATACTGCTCCTTGCATTATACTTGCCAAAAGCATAATTCATGTAAAAGGTCTTTCAATTTTGAATGAATATATTGAATTGAATCATATAGAATTGATTTGAAAGAAGTGTTTCTCCTGTGCCTTGTCACACTAGTAAAATCTGTCAAAATTGAGAATTTAAAACATTATTCCTGTTTATCAATAATACTTAGCTATTATTGCACTTCCAGTGAAGCAGTGCAATACACTTCGGGTTGCCTCCCATTCATGATTAGTATGAAAAGTACATAATTCAGATGCAATGTCCATACTGCAAACTGGTCTATATGTGGATACTGTTTGGTCCATATTTTAAATGTGTTAATATTTTTGGAAGCAATAAAGCTTAATAGTAGCTAAAACTGCCCCCTTCCAAAAGTTAAAAGCAGTGGGCCACACTCTTATCATATTGATTGGTACCTCAGCTTAAGGAAGCTGTGGATATTTGCACCATATGCAAATGCACTTCAAATATTTGTCCATGTTTTTTTAAAGTCCAAGGTGACAACCCTAAATACCCTCTCATCCTGAAATGAGGCTTTCAAGCCATTAATGGCATGCCCATTCATTGCAGAAATATTTACTGAGTGAAATTTTGTTCCCAATCAAGAATTCATCAGGTAGGAAATTTCACAAGGGATACAGAAAGATTGCAAGTGAACTACACAATGGAGAAACTATCATACAAGTAAATCTTGCAATCTTCCATAAAAGTTCTGAAATGTAATAGGAAGTAGTACTGGTAGCAGTAGATATCCCAGATGGCCAAAGAGAGGGGGAGGCTGAAATCACGGCAGTGATTTGCAAGTTAATTCATACCACCTGCAATGAGAGCTCTATAGCCCCATGCTATTTCTATCATGAGATATACCAGATATACCCTCACCTCCTTGGATGCACCATAGAAATAAAATTGCATAATAAATATAGTATAAATTAATTTGCAAATCATTGCACTTGTAACTTTCTGTTCTTCCCTTGCTGGGATGAATACTGCTTTGACTTTTCCCCCCATCTCATCCTCACTTATGAAACTCACCTAAGGAACTCAGTATCCGTGGTTCCTGTACTTCCAGAAAAGGTTGGGCATCAATGACATGGCACAAATCAATAAAGACACCCATCTTCAACGGCAAGTGTAGATCGTAATGGCACTTGACCCGATGCTTTGAATGCTTACATACCTATAATTCATAGCATTCACCTCATATAGCCAACAACTACTTTCAAACTATCAAAAATTTGTTCTTCCGGCGGCTCAGCAGTATCATTGAGCAGGTCACCAGTTCTGATGATCAAGGCCTAGGCCTATCATATTATCTATTATCTCCACAAGCCAACTAGCCAAGGCGGTGCACGTGTGTAACAGCGCTATTAGGAGTCCGCCATGATACAGCTCAGCAGCACAGCCACAGAGTGGATACGAAGTCGTTGGACAATGCCAGTTGAAGAGCTTAATTATCAAGGTGAAAATGGAAGAATCATTGACCATAGCCCGAAGGATTGTCCAGAACACGGACTCACAAAAGATGTTCTTCCTATCAAGTTCACAAGTGCTTTCTGTCATCAGAGCTTAAGTATCCAAAATTCTGCCAATACCTCTGCGAGGTATTGGCCCTGGGACTCCACCTTGTGCTGTTCATAGGTATTCAGACTTTCTAGCTGACCAGAGTGCTAACACGACTCTGAAGCTACTGAAGTTTGACTTCCTTCTTACAGTGGGGGTAACCCCGTCTAACGCTTAGGAGGAGCATAAGAAATAATCCCCGATATCTCTTTTTCACTTTGAGCAAACTAGAAATTGTGAAAGCTTTACATGTCTATTTCCTCTCTGGAGAATATGATGCCATTAAGAGAGAATCCCTTTGAACAACTCTCTGAATGAACTCCAATGGCTTAGTCAAGGCCGGCCAAAGGGGGTAGCATCAATATGCCCCGGGCCTCGCGTACCAAGGGGGCCTCCGGTTTAGTTTTGCCCAGTTGCCCCAGTCCCCTGGAAACCTCTGGGCGGCCCTGGACTTTGTACCCTGTCTAGAAATACTGCGTTATGCCAACCCAAGAGGAGAATCAAGGCGAAAATAATAATAATTTTCTCTATTTTCAATGTATCTGGCATAATTGTTGTGATATATTTATCTAGTATGGCTTCCTGACTAATACATCAGCTGTTGCCAACAAAGCCCAGGTATTACTCGTTTGACGCTCACCCAGCTAGGGTGGAAGTGCTCGTTGAACGCGTACGTCACCGTGTAAAGTCGGGATGGCAAGTACAGCGACGTGATGTAGACTGCATTTTATTCACGATCTTCTCAGGTCTCCTGGCTTTCTTTCCTCTGTTCCGTTCCTTGGTATGACTTCTCGCACTCTTCGACAGTTGGGTGACCATCATTTATCGATATAACCCCACTGGTTGGCAATCGCCGACTTTTGAACTATAGCAAGGGTGGCGCTATATCGAATTAACAATATTCCCTATTATAAGCTTATGCGGAGATTTCTCCGAAAGCGGCTGCCGACAAGACAGGGTGGCGCTTTGCCAAGCGGCGGTATATCAAGGATTGACTGTACTTACAGTACCGCCAGAAAGTTTGAGGCAGGTGGGAAAATTTCGCAAATCATAAGAAATATGAAAAATATCTAGCGTTTTTTTTTCTGAAAATATAATTTTACTTAGTTTACGTTATGAACATACATAT